AGAGAATGAGAAGAATATAGAATAGGATACGTATATAGATTGAAAATGATAGGGAAATTAGAATGTAAATAAATAAAAATGTTGTACGTGGCTAAATGCTCAGAGTGAGCGAGGCCAAATGAAATTTAAAAAAAAAAAAAAATCGACGTTTTACAATTTCATTTGTCACTTATGCTCCAAATATTGGATTTGGGGTGAATTTTTTTTTCAAGTTCCCGTAACTTTCGTTATAGTAATCTCCAAAAATCGAAAATGAAAATTTTTGCATATTTTTACGTTCCAGAGCTTTCTGAACATTTTGGCATACCTCACAAAAAATCAATTTATGTATGTGTATGTGTTGGTATGTTTGGGTACATTTTTTGTCCAAGATTTCGGGCGCACAGATCAACCCATTAGAATGATTCAAGAAACATTCGTTTCTATTAATAAGGAGACGTGTTAATCAGTTTTTGTCCAAGGCAGGTCCTGTCGTTTCTATGATACGGGGCAAAAAGTGCCAAAAATGGTAATTTAGTTATTGAGTAAAGCGAGCCCGATTTGAATTATTAAAAAAAACATTTTATTCGCACAAAACGAAGACGTGATTTTTGGAAATGGAAGCCCAGCGGTTTCTTAGATCCAATTAGAAAAATTTAAAAAATGACATTCGACGGTCAAAAATGATCATTTTACGTATGCACCTTGAATCATCAGATATTTTATAGAAATTTTAATAATAAGTATAAATTTTGTTTATATTTCTATGGGTTCCGTACCAATGTTTATCCGTTAGGCGCTTATGCGTCATTGAAAAAAGTTCAACATTCTCAGAAAATTCAGAATATAACAAAAACTCTTTTTTTTTCAAAAATTTCAAAATTCTCAAAAATCTAATTTTTTCAAAGTTTTCAAAAAGTTTTAAAGCTTTTTTAAAAAATCTAATTTTCTGTACAAGGAGTTCCAGCAATTTGGCTCAAGGCACGATGCCGTGCACATCGTGCCTTATATTTAGAAAGAAACTACGGTTTCAGCAATGTTATTTAAATTGTGTTTGTGCTGATCTTGTGCTTACATAACGTAACATGTTCTGCTTTCTTAACTTAAGTTCTAGTTTACTTGGTACTCTTTTCTCTAAAGATAGTTTCAGCAACGTCCATTTAAGTGCTGATATTTCGCTTGTAGTAGAATCTGTTTTTTTTTTAAATTTTATCAATTTCTTACTTATATCTTCAGGATATTTATATACGCATTATATATACAAGGTGTCCCAGAACTCAAGGTCAAGCCGAAACGGGGTGAAAGTATTAACCGTAAGCGTCGTTATAATTTGGAAATTATGAGGTTTTAAGTGCAGCTTAGAACTTTGGTGATTTAATTTGGTTTTTTTAAACTGTGAAAAATACTTACATAATTGCTCCAGATTTTCAAGAATAAAGACTTTTTTTTAAACTATGAATTTAAAATTTCCAGAATTGGGACAGAAGCCCTCCTTTCAAAAAATGTATTAAAGTATGTTGGCAAATTCCATCGAATGCATCAAGCATTTAGGATTATATAATGGTAAAATACTTGATAGTTTCATAATGAAATAAGTATAAAAGTACAAAATAAAAACAAAAAAATAGCATGATTTTTGCTAGTGCAAGTTAAACACGATCAGTCCCAATGTCTGTTGCACAAGCTTGAATGTGCGCGAGAGAAACTATTGTCTTGTTTTTTTTTACTCTTTTCTTTAATATGATACTATCAAGTATTTTGCCATTCTACAATTCTGATTAAATGCGTCAACTTTTGGTAAAACTTGTTAATATACTTCAGTGTATTTTTTTAAAGGACTTCCCAAACTCAACTAATTTTTAAAAAAATAATTTTATAGCTTAACAAAAAGTCTTAATTCTCAAATTATTCAAAACTTGGGGCATTTGTGTCATTATTTTTAATTGTGATCCTAGAAATGTTTTTTACTGTTACGGATCCAAAGTTTAAATGAACATAATTAATAAAAATTAACCACAATAACTGAAAAATGATAATACTTTGGCAAAAGCTCATAGTTTTCAAACTCCATCAAATTTTTTTTTCATAATAGTTACTATCAATACTATCACCCCGTTTTGACTTGACGATGAGTTCTAGAACACCCTGTATATGTAAACTGATTGTGAGATAAAGTTTAAAGCGAGCTACAGCTTCAATACCCATTTTAATAATACACTATTTTACATTTGGCAACCGGCGCTATTACTATTGCGAGAGGCCGAGCTTTGCGAATGCTGCCACAGGTGTCGGACGAGGGTCGCAGAAGGTTACAGTCCGAGCAACGTGGGAAAGCGGATATGACCGATTTACAACCCCGTCATCCTAAACTACTCCAATAACCCTACATACCCTCTACAGTCAGATCCATGCCTAGCTGAAATTTATCTGTATACGCGTAAACACATACACAGATATATGTATATATATATATATATATATATATATATTAATAGGGTACAACGGGGCTTAAAGGTCTGTTTGTAAAGATGTCCAATAATGATATCTCTGAAAGCAGTAATGTTAAGCATTTTTAACAAAAATATTTGAAAGTAGAGGAAAAAGATGTATAACCAGCCATTCAACTCTGCTGTTGAATATATCTGACGAAATGCCTGATCAAGGTTATTTATAGATTATAATATATATATATATATATATATATATATATATATTAGGGTGGCTCTTAATATGGACCTTTTCGAATTTCCTTGCTCCCAAGGGCTCAAATGGTTCCACATTGATAAAAAACAATTCTCTGAAAGTTTTAGCTCTTAATATTATCTTTTAGATAGTGCGCAATTCTATCAAAGTTCATATGGAAATAGCATGAAAAAACTTTAGAAAACTCCAGAACGCACGAACCGATTTCGACAATTTTGCATTCGTTGGAAAGGTCTCGGGCTACGCAAGGTTTATAGCTATAGTTTAAATTAGTGGTGCATGGTATTGTGCCTTAATGCAAATTGTTGGAACTTCACGCATCATAATTAAAAATTCGAGTAATGACATTAGTAAGAATTATCAGAATTATGCTTGGTTAAGTCAACAAGCAATTCTTGCCTCTAAAGATAATAATGTACACGCACTGAATTTTACCATTCAATCAAAAATTGCTGGCGATTTGGTGACATACCAAAGATTCCGACTGGTCTTCCGGTTGACTTCAAACGATTTCAATTTCCAGATCGCCTTGCGTTCGCAATAACGAGTCGCAAGGCCAATCGCTTAGTGTTTGCGGGATAATTTCCAAATAGATTATTTAGAAAATCATTGTTTTTTACATGGGCAGTTATACGTTGCCTGTTCACGAGTTGGAAAACCATCCGCTTTGTTTGTATTAACGTTAGACTAAAAAACAAAAAATATGGTTTACCAAAGAGCACTTCAATGAAACGGATAATTTGCGGATTCACTTTTATTTACACACTTCATTTTTGTAGTCGAAATAAATTCATTACTGTTGTGTAATAAAATCAAATTATTTTTTCAAATATAAAACAAACAAAAAATTTCTTCATCTTTCTCACGAAACCATCTGGTGGCGAAACGGAGTTCGTCGGGTATATATATATATATATATATATATATATATATATATATATATATATAAAATTAAGACATTGAACCTGTTTGCCCCTGGCCGTCTCAATTTACCTCGTCTATGGGGTAAAAAGTACCAGGTTACAAATTATTCAAAAACAGCAAAAAAAATACAATTCTACAATGATGATTTAGCCGGGAGGACTGCCAGATAGTTGTTTGTTTGATATGCGTTATTTGTTGTGATATAATTGGTTTGGTTTTTACAATATATTTGCTCATATTCAAATTACAACTTTGTACCCCGCCCTACCCTATATATATATATATATATATATATATATACTTGTGTATGTATTTGTGTGTATACGTATATAAGTGTTTATGTGTATTATGAATATGTTTCATATCAACTGTGTACACGTATGCATGCACCTTGTCAGAGCGGTGGAGTAATCTTGAGTAATGTATAATGTTTGTTGAAGGACTATAGGTGAATATATCAGAGCTTGGCAACCATTGCCGTACAACACTGTATTCAGACCTGCATGCAAACGTAATGCAGATGCATTCTATTGTGCGCTATTATAATACATGAGAACGTCAACCAAACAAATTACAAATTTAACAATACGATCTCTGGAAACCGCGATTGTAAATTCTGATATTGTCGCATCACAATTTATATTGATCATTTTTATTATACGGGCTTGTTTAAACACACACACACACACACATATATATATATATATATATACATTTATACATACACACTTCAGAAAAGAACTTCAGAAACGCAACAGTAACTGATCCATCCAAATCAGATAGTATAAATTTTTTCATTGAGGAAAAAGCAACATTTCAGTACTTTACAATTATCAGCTGTTTATCTTTTACTTCCAAATCCAATTTAACCTCCTGATGACCACTGTCAAAGGCGAATATTTTACTAGAAGACGGTTAATTATATCTTAAATTCAAAATTTATTAAAAAAATGAATAATACATGTACAATAAGAAAATTATTAACATTAGGCAAAACGTAGTACAACATATATACAAATATTAAAAATACTTATCAGTTTTTATTTTAGGATGATAATATTTACTATCACGGAGGTTGATTACATGTTACAGGTGGAGTGGTGGAGAGTTCATCAATTATCATTTGAAAGGAAAACAATATATAGATAAAAGTAATACTAATGTTATAAAAATTTTGAAAAAATATCAATTACTTTTGACTAATAGTTTTTAATAAATTAATATATAATAAAATAATTATATAAATTATAATTTTTAAGTATAGTTATTTTATGCATACGTTAAATTTTTGTATCCTCTTCTGATCCTATATTTAAATGTTGAAATTCGTGTTAAATATATTAAAAAGCATTATTAAATTCAATCGAATATTTTAAATCGTATGTTTATTTCAGTACGATAGCAGAAGGTCTTCCGGCAGATAACCCGCACCTGGTGCTTCTGTTCTTCTTGGCGCAGTTGTTTCTTCGAGAACTAGCGAAGTGCCAACGGCTAGTGCAGGTGGTCCCCATGGATATGTCTGGATACTACGGTTAGTCCATGTTGAAGCTGGATTCATATACATATATATATATATATATATATATATATATATATATATATATATATAGCAAGAGGTTTTTCTTCAAATGGTGAAATAATATGATAAAATCGTTCTTGAACATCCATCCAGTAATTAAGAACAGTTTTATTGAAGGAAAATATTTTTATTATGAAAACATACGATTCGGGGTTGATTTGGCCCATCTTCAGTGCTACAAAGTCTTTCAACCAATGACGAAACAGTTCCACAATTTTTCGCAAACACGTACGCACACATTGTACTTGTTGCACAAACTCCAAACGGACAACTGTGTTTCATAATTTTTTCGTGCATTTTTTGTGTTTTTTTTTTCAATTTATTTTTATGTTGAGTTCTTTACATTTGTTTATTTCAATGTTTGTATTTTCACCTTTATATACTTTCACAATATATATTTGTTATAAAACAAATTTATTAAATTGATTAGATTTATGTTTTTTATATGTTTTTATTTACTGTAGCTGTTACAAGTACCTGTGCAAAAATACTTTCTCTACACTTTCGTGAACCAAAATTCAAAAAAAAAAATTCATGATTATTGACACGGTAGTTGTATCAATGTTTGTACAAACTTTTGCTCTTTGGACGTAAGATGCCAAGTTGAATATCCACTGATGATGACATCAAATTGTATGTTTTTGGAATTGAAGATTAATTTATAAATCTTTGTTTTATATGTATATATATATATAACATAACACATAACTTACACAAATTTCAGTTTTAAAATTAAAAACAAAACATGTTCAGTTAATATTGTTTATTTTCTATATTTATTTTACATGTAATGTATGATTGGTTTTTCTAATGTATTTATTCATAAAATGGATTTTCCTGGTGTGGTATGTATATCTTTTAATTATTTTAAATATAAAATTAAATTTATATTTTTTTAAAAAGTTTGTAAATATTTTTTAGATATTTTTAACAAAGAATTGCTGAATGATGACACACAATCCGTGTCGAAACGTATATTATAAATAATTATTTGTTTTTATTTGTTTCTTTTATTTCGACGACTGTCTTAAAATCATTATTCAAAACATGTCTCAACGTCGAACAAAAAAATAGAGTTCGCGATCCTCGGATCGACTCCTGGCAATGAAATTGTTGAAATGTTGATTTTAAACTGTTTAAATCGCAGTAGTGACAACGGTTTTCACTTGGAAATATTGATAGCAATATGTTTTCAAGTGAAAATAGCCCTGCTGCGGCATTGCTGCATTAATGAATATGTGCCGTATTACAGAATTTGTGATAATAATTCATCGAGCGTAATGGGACATCTGTTTGGGTTGCCATCTGTGGAACCAACTAGTATTAAATATAGTATTAAGTCAACAACAATCAGTTCAATAGCTTTTATGACTTTTAAGTTCTGATTGCTGTTCAAAAATAATATATAAAAATGTTGTTCAGGTAGATTTCCAAATAATATTTTAGTATATTCTTATTGTCAGATATAATAAATAAAAAATTCCACGTTTCTATGCAATAACACAGAATGTCACATGTCTTTGACAGATAATCGGGCTGGCCCTTCGAATTTAGGAAATGTGATATCGCAGATACTTCTATGCAAACAAATCACACCCGACTTTCACGAAGAAGAACTGTGCAGTATTAAAAAAGATTCGCAAGATCTGACTCGTATGCTACTGGAGCTTCAGGAGTACATGCCACGGCAAGAGGAACATACGGGTATTATTCAGAATATTAATTAATATATATATATATATATATATATATATATATATATGCATACATATACATTTTTCATTAATATATATTTATATAAATATAAAGGTCGAAAATAAACATGACAATTTTGGCCCAAACATTTTGACACATTTGCAATGTATTCTTAACCAAAGCTGCTTACACTAGGCCTACATTGCTTATTACATTTATTATTTATTCTTGTTATTTTTTTATTATTATTCACGTTTTTTCGTTCTATTTTTTGTATATTTGATTTTAACTATTGACCTTAACTGTCTTGAAAAAAATTTAGAAAAAAAAATTATCTCACGTTGTTTGGAAATTATGAGCTTTTAACAACCTAGAGCTTTTGTGAAGTTAGGATCATTTTTTGGTTATTGTGATCGAGTTCTATTAATTTTATTTGTTTAAGCTTTGGAACCGTAGCCGTGAATAACATTTCTAGAACCATAGTAAAAAATAATAACATAATACATAGCTCCAAGTTTTCAAAAATTAAGACGTTTTGTTGAACTATGAATTTAAAAATTTTAAAATTCTCCTCCTTTAGAAAATGTACTTAAGTGTGTTGGCAAATTTCATCAAAAGTTGGCGCATTTAATCAGGATTGTACAATGGTGAAATACTTGATAATTTTATTATTAGAAAATATAAACCTAATAATGACACGATTTTTTGTAGTGCATTTTACTTCAACGTGCAACAGAGAAATATTTGAACTTAATGTGAAAGAAGTGTATTAACCCTTATCGTGTTATTTTTAGGTTTTTATTTTTTTTTACTCAAAATTCTCTTATAATAACATTATCAAGTATTTTACCATTTTACAGTATTGTGTTTTAACATCATTTCGTGCTATATAAAGATAGCTCTAAAAAGTATCACATGTCATACAAATAAAAGTAGTCTGAATGAACATTCCACACCCTCAGGGACGGTTCTGACAGGTAAAAACATAGATTAAAATAATTAGATATAAATACCAAAATGGTTTATAACGACATCTATTGTTGTCAATAACAATAATATGTAACGCAACAAAGCTTGAACATTTAAACATAGCTTTTTTTTTTTTTAATTTCAATAATTATTGCAACTGCTAATTTAAACATAGCTTATGAATAAAATATAACAATATATAACTAATCATAATTTTTTAAACAAAGTTATTATACATTCATTGTGATTTTTTCCTTATATTCAATTTTTCTTTACCCTTCTCTTTCATATTTTGTCTTAGCCAAGTTAGATTTTTCTGTTTAATTTTCACCCGAAAAAGACAAGAAATACGTGTCACAACCGTAAAAAATTTAAATGGTTTAAAATTATACATGATTATAGCATTAACACTTGAATAATATATAATAAAATAATTATTACGAATTCTCATCTTTTCAGAAATGCAGCAAATGTTTTTTTTTTGCTACTATCCTTATGAATGCCACAAAATTAATAAGAAAGAAATATTAATTTGATATAATGTATACATAGTATATATAGAAAATTACTTTAGCGTGATAGACATATAACATCAATAAATTCTTAATATTTTTATAACAAATTTACATTATGACCTATACAATATACATACATGCACACTTGCTAAATTATGCTAAAAATAAAATTATTATATTTGATAATAACTTAAAACTTCATGCAATTAAATTAAATAAATTTATAGTAGGAATACCTGCATGAAGCATACTCGTATATTAAATAAATCAAAAGACCAAGAAAATGGATTGCTTAGCATTCGAGATAATTACACTGATTGTGGCGCTTGAGTCGTAAACGTAAATAATCACTGCCATATGCTTCCAAAAAGGAACAAAGTCGTTTCATTTGCTTTTGTAAATAGTTGTTTTAAAACTTTCCCAATGTCTGTTTTTGATTTGATTTCATATTGTTTCAGAACGCAATCTGAATTTGACAGGGGACGCCTCAAACGGACCCTGGCCGAAAAAACGTCGGCGGGGATCGCTATACAAAAACATGAGCCTGTTGTGCTGTATGAGTCGACAGGGATATCTGTGATTACTAACAAAAAAAAACTTTGAACCTAAAAACCTAAAAATGTTTGTGATAAGCATTTCGAATGTTATGTTTATAGATCGGCATGTATTCAGTACCACGATAAGTTTCTAAGGTGCACACGTATCAAAATTAAATAAAAATGTTGTGATAATTTTTGAAATATTTGTGACAATATTATCGTACATATTAACACCTTTTTTATTTTAGGCTACATGGAATTATTATTTTTTAGCATCGCGAAATTGCTGTAGTTGGATTATTATATATTGTAACATTAGTTCAAGAATTATGCTATAATATAAATGTGAATATCTTCAGAAACTTTATGAACCGAGAAGTCATAAAATCCAGTCATATACTAGTCAATTAGGTAACTAAAACCTTTATGTGTGATAACTTTGCTTATGAAACATATTTAGTAATTGTAAGCCAATGTTTTTAATTATAAACTTTAGTCTTAAACCCATACAGATTTTTCAAAAATCTGTTGCGGGGTGGAGAGAATAGAAAAATACAAGTTATAATAAGTAACGGAAATATTTTAACTAGTTCTATACATGTTTATTAGTGTATTAGTTTATAAAAAAAATTATATCCGAGACAATGATTCCTTGGTCTTCTAGTTCTACTTATTTTTGAAGTTGCATTATTTTCATTGCAAAAGTGGTATTTTGATAATAGTCACTTGTGCTAATTAAGTTGTTATGAGTTTGAATAAAAAAAATCAAATGATATAATGGAAGTAAATGATATTAATAATATTTAATTATGAGTATTTATATTTGTTTAAATTCAAGATTCCCTATAAACAACCCGCTTGTATAAAGATTCAAGATTAGAAGTTTTAATCATTCATCTGTGGTAATTTGTTTAAAAATGTGTAGTGTAGTGAATATATCATTTCACTTATTCTAAAAAACGTTTTGCATGAAAAATACATTGTGATATTTGGAAATGAATGGGTTGAACCAAAATATTTATCAACTGTTAATATGTCCAAATTCAATGAATATTTGATATTAATTTTACAAAGGTTTAATTTTATATTGCTTCTTTTTCATACAAATTAGTTTAGTATTTATTGTATATTATTAAGTGCAGATTGAATAACGATTAAAATAAAACAATTGAAAGATCTATGGAAGACTATGAATAGATCCATGAAAAATAGTTTTGAAAGACATTGATAAAAGATGTCGTATTTAAAGGTATCGTATAAAAATAATAATTTTTAAATCTTGCTCTTGTTTCTGAACTTAAAATTTATTGTTTTCGTTTTTATTTTAACCCTTTCTGCATTGAGTTATTGAGAATTCTAATTAATTATTGTAATATGTAGATTCTTAGAAGCGTAATTTTTAATTTTGAAATATATATATGCACATATATATTTATAATGATTGGAAAATCTTTAAATATTTTATATATTAAATACTTAGGCGGCTTGGTGTTTTGTACAGCAGTGTCACATCTGTGGAAAACACTATCGTAGCGAAAGGGTTAATATTGAACCTTTTCTCATTGAGTTTCTATAAGTCCTGAAAATAACGACAATTGCCCTTGTCGGCATATAATGATTTTTTTTATCATACAAATTCAATCTACCTAGGAAGTAAATTAGTAATTTTAATGTTTTTACTCAATGTAATACAAGGAACAGTAAAATGTAATATTATGGTTTGGAACGATAATCGCAAATTTGATATTATATGTATTATTACCTCGGATATTATTTTTTTTACCGTACAAAAAATAATATTTTCCACGTGGAAAAAATTGTTCAGATTGGAGTCAAGGAAGAAACCAAAAATGAAAAAATACGAGTGTGTGTTCTATTTAAAATTGATACCACGAAAACATGAATAAACGATTTATAACTATTAAATTTAATATATTGAGGTATGATATTATATAACTTAGTTCAAATACAATATTAACATTATTAATTAGATTTAGACAAAATTTGCATGTACATATAATACCAGGATGCGTATATACATTAATGTTATTTCGAAATAGAATATAATGATAACATAATTATAAATTAAGTTAAGTATAATATTAATTATATCGTACTTTTCTGGTACTTCCGCATATACTTATGAAATTCTTCTAGTCGTGTATTATTTATATTTGTACTATGTGCACTGATTCTATATTGAATCGTTCAAATTATTGTGATAGAATGTAGTGCGAGTAGAATTTTCAATTTTCGTATAAATTTAAGTAAATTAACATAAGGGTTGAAGCCTGAGCATTGTAAATAAAACTAGGAAGGTATAATATAAACAAAAATGATTTAGATTTGATTTTACAATAAACCAAAAGTAAACAAAACTTGCAGCAATTCACCTAAATGCAAGGTTGTGCGGCAACATAACCGAAATCTTGAGATTATAGAGTAAGACGACTATCTTTAATTTCGATTAGCTAACATTATTTATAGTATCAAATGATTATTTGTGGAAAGCAATTAAAATATTTCTTAATTAAATAAATAATTAACTGCGACCAGTCAGCCCAGAGAATTTTTAACTCATAGTCAATTCAAATGAATTTAATGTGAAATATTTTCCATTGACTTTCCACATCGTTGTGTCGGGGTATTCTATTTTGACTTGGAAATGAACCTATAACTTACATAACTTTACAAAATAGTTGCCTGTACTGGATTGTTTTTTTTTTTTGTAGAATACAGCAATAATTTGCAATCTTATTTTCAGACATTCAATTGCAAAGATGATTGAATAATACCCAATATGTTTGCAAATTACTGCTGCATTATACAAAAAAAAATCTCAATAGATCATTTAAATGAAACTCAATAGTCGTTTAAGGTAAAAAAGGCCAGTAAACGACAGAAATTATAAGATTTTAATTATCATGCAGAAGAATTACTAAATACGAAATTTTGTCGTTTTTATAATTATTCTGCATTTTTTGTAGTTTGACCCCTAATTTTTACTTGAGATTTGTGTTCAGCGGTAAAAACTTCATTGGAAAGCTTTTGTCGCACACTCAATACAGACAACTTTTTTTGTTGGCCTTCGTTATTATGTTTTATTAAGACATCTCTCATCTAATCTATTTAAAAAGCCAAATCTTAAAAATCAAATCCAGTTTTTTAATGTCAATATGTTTTTTTCGTATTTAACAAATTATCCAATAGTTTGGTATCATGACTAAACCTCCAGTTATCTCTTGCCTCTTGAACGTACTGAAACCGCAGTTAGGCATTACTTTATGGGGGGAGGATCTAGAATGATCTTATTCTCCCTCTTAAATTATATGTTTGTGCATGTGTGTATGTGTATGTGTATGTATATATTTTCAAAAATTTATTACTGACAACCAAATTCTGAAAGCATTAATTATAAATCTTGACACAAAAAATTAAGCATATTACATAAATAGAAGTTAAAAATTCATTGATCAAAACTCTTAAAATAACAATTCGTGTATTTTTTATTGAATAATTTTTTGCATGCATTTGACTGATATGGAGTGAAAATTCTAAACAGAGTTTTAGCGATAATATTTATTTTAATTGTGCATTTTTGCTTTAATTTTTTCGCATATCGTTAGAAAGTAATATGAAAGGTTTTGTCATATATATAAACTTTTTTATGTTTTCTCTTTTACATTTTATCATCGAAATTATATAAAAGTAAACGACTAAAACTCCAATTATCTATATGATCTCATAATCTCGATTCTTTTTTATTTCATTCTCGTTATTTATAATATATACATATTTTTTGCTGATTAAAAAAAATTAAATTTTTCAATTCACTTTGAAATCTTCTATTTTAATGAATAATTTCTGAACGAGAGAGAACTTGCTTCTTACTTTTATTTTAACTTTATGATTTAATTTTTAGAGCAACATTTTATAGGTCAAATTTAGAATAGACATGTAAAATAGTTAAAAAATTTGCGATAAATTTCAACGGCATTTAGAATGATAAAATAACGTATGGGCATAAACATGTAGGAAAATAGTTAAATATGTAATTGGATACTAATAATTTTTTAAATCAATAAAAATTTACGGTCATACTTTGATTTATTCCAAAGATAACACTTTTAGTGCATATATAAAGCTTTGTATTTATAAAGTAATATTACGAGGTTTTATGTAAAATGTATTGGTAATGTGAAGTTGAATTCTGTAGTGATTTTTGGTTTTGTTTCTAAAACATATTTCATATTGTTAGAATTGCACAAATTGTTATTTTGAAATTCGACTATATTTATTATTATGATCGTGATTATTGCGAATAAATTAAGTTTTTTAAACGTCTTTCAGGAAATCTTAAAATTTTCTGAAAAACTTAACTTGGCTTTGACTGTTTGAACTGTTGTACTTATATTTAGCGAAAGATAACATAAGAGATATCATTTGCCGATGTTTGTTGTTTGTTATTTGTTATTTGTGCTGAGCATTAAAAGCAAAATATCTGTCCATATTTTCTTACATTTTTTCAAAAAAACTCTTCAAAACAAATCCTAGTCAACAAAATGAAAGTTATATTTTAAAATATATCGAGACAATGCTATTTGAAGAAAAGGAAATAAATTGCTAATATATAATTATAAATTATACTATATTAATATCGAGCTACTAACGTTTTAGTAAAATTTTTGATTTATACGTTATTTTGAGAACAGTATGTAAACATGCGAGGCACAAAAATTAGCAAACTAACATAAAAATGTAGACATTAAACACAAATAGGTTTCAAAAATAAAAATATTGTTAGACAAGTAATCTATACTATGAAACAAATTGTTTAGTTTAATTTAGATAATTATTATATTTGAAACTAATTATTTTTTATTCATGATGTAGTAGAATGACTCCATTATGGGTGGGGGTTAAGGTAACTGGGACCATGTATAATATATATAAATATATTAATTTTGTAGAATATTATATGCATGATTCCTACTTAGATTTCATTAAACATAAAGGAATTACTAACCCACACCAACAATATGCAGTATTTTTAGCACTAATATTTTTATGTGACCTACTACGAAACATATTCAGTTCTGAACGTTATATATTAGGGCTTTAATAATTATTTTTACCATTTTCCTAAAAACTAAACAA